TAAGCAAAGGGTGTATTACTGAAATACTAAAAGAGATGAAACCTGTGTTCCTTGTGTCAAGTAGACATACCTCCAAAAATGTGGATGTAGGAGCATTTGTCTTAAATGGACTCCAGAAGATGGTAGAGGACAGGAAGGCCTGGAGGAACGTTGTCCATGGGGTCGCGAGTCGGACACGACTTCGCAACTAACAACAAGGAACATTTGTAAAATGTGAACCTAAACAACCTCAGTAGTTTTGCTAAAAGCAGCTTTATTTGTTAAGTATCTAGGGTTCTTACTAAGTTCACTTACTAAGCACTATTAAACTTAATAAGCTTAATAATGATAATAAACTTAATACGGTAAGCTCACTTAATAAGCACCATTAAGATCAATGCGACCTACTTCTGAGTAAACATGCATTGAATTGGCCTATTATAGTAGAAAAATCTAGATACATCTACTAAGTAAGTGCTAGTCAGTTAAGCTCACTTTGAATTTAAGCATGCATAAAATTTCTGTTTAAAGGTGCTTGTATTTTAAGCAAATTTATTCTCACACATTTGGAATTTGTTTTATTACACCCTAATATAAATAGGAAGATATAATCCAGATTTTAAAAACTCATCTTTATGTAATATTTATTAAAATAATTTGTAGTTTTTCCTGCCTGCAAGTCCTAAATGACTGAAACCAATTTCCACCGATTTTTAATAGAGTTCTTTCACTAATAGCACAATCCTATTTAAGTTTGCTGAGCATAATCCTAACCTAGCTTACTCAGACGAATTTAAAGGAATTTACCTGCAGATAAGCATGTATAGGATTCAGCAGAAAGGCATCCACCTGCGGCCATAAGTAAATTCTGGTTGAATGAATTCAGCTAAGGGTTTTGATGAATGTGTTTGTCTGTTTGTTATGATGTCTACGTGGGAGACATTTTTAAGACCAACCAAGCTATTTAGTTCATTTGAATGGAAAATGTCACATAATATTAGAATTTTTCCCAGTTTGGGAAAAAAATTAATTTGGAAGCAAGTACCATTGAAAGCAGTACAACCTTCTTCTCGGTAAATACGCACGATGGACGCGTTCTTGGGAAGGGAGAGGGGGAAAACCTGTCTTATCTTTAATGGAAATAGACTTAATTGCTGTGATGCTTCCCAGTGCAACTAATTTAATAAAGGACAGTCATTTAAAAGATTTTTTGAGGAAGGGTTCCAATCTTTCTAAAGCACTCTCACTTCTCTTCCTGAACAACTGAGGAGGCAGGGTGAGGGACTGCTGCATGATGTTTTATGTAAATCAAAAACTCGGCTCCAGATCTGCAGACCTGCCTTCTTGGAGAGAGTCCTTTGAAGCAGGAAATAATTTAACACCCACCTCCTTCCCAGTAGAATGGAAACTTCAGTTGAAAAGTCAAGCGGTCCAGGATTAGTACCGGCCTGAAGATCTCCCCCCCCCACTACCCCCCCCCCCACTACTCCCCCCCCAGTTCTCACCCGAGCGTGGCCTGACTCCCAACCCGAGGAGGGTCTGTTCTTGTTGTGGACAGGTCAGAGAGACCCGCTACTGCTACTACTACTAAGAGGCGGAGGGGTTCTCAATCTGCCAATTTCAGAGGGAAAATTGAAACTGGGAGAAAGGAGGGGGAAGCTGTAGCTTATAGTTTCGGTTAAAGGGGCTGAGCTAAGCCCCCCCACCACACACACACACACACACACACACCTCCCATCAATTTCCTCCCTTGCACGCTGGGATCCCAGACCGCAAGAAAAGAAGGTTTGGAGGGCGCTCGTTTATACGGGAGAGGAAAAAAGAATTGGCGTACCTCAAAGAAAGGGAAGAAGGAAAGGAGAAAAGCCACCCAGGGCCCAGGTTGCGGGCTTCAGCTGCCCTTTGGCTTCTGTCAAGCCCAAAGACTGCAGAAAGGCCAGGGCATACATAAGCCTTCACCCGCCCAAGAAGGAGACGGCGCAGCCACCGCTGCTGCTGCTGACTGATTCTGTACAGGTCTTTTCCCACGCGCCCTCATTCTTCGCTCGTTGGGACGATGGGATTTGTAGTCCAGCGTATTTGGAAGTCACCCGCTTGGGGAAGGTTAGCCTAAATGAATGATCGATTCACACCAGTAAATTATACCTAATTTTTTTTATAAAGGAAAAAGAATACAAATATGTAGTCACGCTTAAGCAGGTCGATTCTCTCTTCCTCCCCCCCCCCCCGGAGCTAAATTGACGCGGGACACCTGAAAGCCTCCGCCGCTGGCGAAGATTGCCGCTGACACTTGAGCAAGCGGGTGGCCCAACGAGTGAGGACGGCCTCCAACTCGGCTTCTTTAAAATACAAAAAGGATTTCTAGTTCTGAATCTAAAAGTGGCCCCATCTGAAGGCATTTATTTTTTTTTTGGGACTCTGCGCTGCGTGCGGGAGAGGGAGCCGGCTGAAGGGACTCGGGTGAGTTGGGCAGCCTTGTAACTCCCCATTAGATTCTGGTGCCTCTTTCTTTTCCTAAGCAATACCACATTTCCCACACTTTCCACAACTCCGGTAACAGGTTCCAAATGTAGGAGAAGGGCGCGGAGCCGGGAACAGCCGAATTCCTACTTCAGGGCAACGGCCATAAGGCGACAATAGGAGAGAGGAAAGCGGGCAGCGGGCGGCGGGGGGGGTGGTGGTGGGGTGGAGGAAGAAAGACAGAGGAGCTTCACCTGCTCCTTGGGGGTTTGTTGAGACCAATTCCCTCCCCCCCCGGCCGCCCCCGCATCTCTCCTGTTT